CTCCCTCTCCCTTTTTTTTTTTTTTTTTTTTTTTTTGAGGCAGAGTCTCACTGTGTGGCCTAGGCTGGCCTCAAACTCTCTGCGATCCTCCTCCCTCAGCCTCTCAAGTACTGGGATTGTTGTTGTGCACCACAATACCTGGCTAACACTCCCTTCTTGCCTGTGTGGCAGCCCCTTCCCTTTGGTGCAGTCATCTGTCCTTCCTCTTTAGCTGTTACGAAAGACATAGCTGGCTTTAGCTTTTTGCCTAGAGCTGTGAGCAGAGTCATGCTGAATGTGTGAGTGAAAGTGTGCCTGTGAATGTGTTCAAACAGCTAGCCATTTAAAGCCCCCAGCTAGGGGATGGCCCAGAGGCCTCTCCAGGGCTTGCATAGTCCTGTGATAGCCCAGGTCAAACCTGTCCACCCTCTGGGTAGGCCTGATAACCTGGACTGGTAAGTCACCTCAGGGCATTCCTGAGTTCCCATTCACCTGGGACAAGGTAGCTCAGAAATGAGTTGGGCCAATCTGACTGTTTTGTTACAAACTTTCTATAGACTCCTGCTCCTTCTCCCGCAGCTCAGGAAGATAGGAAGCCTCTTGGGGGCCTGCAGAGGTGTGGCTGCAAGGAGGGCCTGCTCTGATCCGAGGAAGGAGCGCGGGCTCTGCCTGAAAGGGACAGCAGCCTTTCAGAAGCAGGAATTATGCCCTTGAGCAGGCTGTGGCTCCCTGACACCCCACTCCTCTAGTCCTAGTTTCCCTGGGGCCTGGGAGGGTCATGCCAACCCACCTTGGGATGAGTCAGAGGGGGCAGGCACAGTTGCCCGCTGCCTGCTTTCCACCCCCTCCCCAGGGTGTGGTTGCTGCAGGTCTGTGTTCTGTGGATAAACAAGGAGCCCAGGTATCTCTGCATGGGAAAGTTTGCTGGTCCCCTGCAGTGGCCCTGTTCACCTCCCCACATCGAGGTGGATGGTACAGAACAGCAAAAGAGTTGTGTATTCTGTGTGTGTGCATGTGCATAAGCATGTGTATGTTGGTTAGGTACACAGGATGTCAGCCTCAACATCAAACTCAGAATCTCAGAATTTTAGAGGGAAAAGGCTCAAAGATCAACTGCAGAAGGGGAAAACCAAAGACTAGGGAGGTGGAGTCATCTGCTCAGGGCTGCTTGGTGCAGAGCTGGGATGAGATCAGATCTCTGAACTCTTGCCACTGCCCTCCTTTGATGCCTTCCTGCCAGGCCACAGGCAAGGAACTCTGTGGGCAGCTGGGATTCCACATTTGCCCTTAGTGCCTAGCCCAAAGGCCCCACTGTCTGGTTTCCAAACTGATAACAGCATGGCCTGCTGCAAGCTGATGGAGCCGGGCATTGGGTGGGATTGCAGCCCATCTGGGGCCTCCCAAGCTCGCTGGCCACAGGAACCAGGCTCTGGACAGCAGAGAGGGCACAGCTGTGGGTTTCTTTCCCTTTTTTTCTGTGAACAGCAGTTCTTGAGGGAATGTTTCTCCGTGCAGTTCTGGAGGCTCATTGCTCTCGGCGCTCTGCCTCTCTGTGGCCCCTCTGCACACACCCACAGGCTCGGCACCGCAGAGGTAGTGCCAAGAGGGCATGTGGCCTCAGCAGGGAAAATCAGAATCCATCCCTGTGACTGTATGTGTGGACACACAGATGAGGTGGTGGGCTCCTCTTCCTACTCCCATGCTCCCAGTATGAGAGAAGCTATTTCATAGTAGGACAGATTGAGGCCAACACACAGTAGGAGAAAGTGTTCTGACTCAACCTCTCTTTTCTTAGACTCTCATGTTTGGGGCCAGTTTGACCTCTAGATTTCCCAGTGTCATAAGCCAATAAATAAATTCATTAGGGTAGGTTTAAGATGGGTTCTTGTTGTTCTAACCAAGAAAATCTTAACTGAAAACAGAAAACCCTAAATCTAAGGTGGATCTGAGACTGTCTGCCTACTACGATGGACAGGTGCTAGACCCCAGGCACAGCCCACTTTCCCAGGCCTAGGACAGGTTGAGAGAAGTGGGAATCCAGGTATCCACATTGCTACCATGCCTAGGTCAGGACATGGAAGAGACAGTAAAGGCTTTGGAGCAGGTTATATGTTCCTTAGTAGAACATCTACCAGTACCTACTGTAAGCCAGGCACTGATGTCAGAATGGTAACCTGGTTAGATGAACCCTGCAGAGCTCCAAAGCTAAGTTTGTCAATGATTTTTACACTGAATAGCTCTATCGTTAATGAGCCGATTTTGGGCTAAATATTTAACCTCTTTGAGTTACCCATAATGTATAAGATACATCCTGGGCCTGAGTTAAGGTTCATGAGATTATGCACAGCCTGGCTCAATACAGAGTACCTATCATGGAAACTTGCAGGAGACAGGCATCACCCCTCGTCTCTCCCCTCCTGTGGCTAACCTCTGCTATAGAGGAAGGTCAGCAACAATACGAGAGTTGGGAGTGATCAAGAGATGACACCAGGCCAGTTGTGTCAAGAACAGGCCCGCGACTTGAACTGGGAGTGACACTGCAGTGGGCTGGAGTGGTCAAGGAGGGAGGCTTCCTGGAGAGATGGCACAGGAGAAGGAATAAGGATGGGATATAAGGAGAGTGACGGTGGATTGGGCCAGAACGGTGAGAATGAAGTCCTTGTCCTGTGGCTTCATGGGGTGGGGATGTGATTGGATGAGTTCACCTCACAAGGCCAATGCTCTGAAGCTGGTGAGTGGGGAGAAACATGAACAGGGTTGCTCTTCAGGTGGGGCTGGAATGGAAGGTATAGGAGTGAGAAGGTTCCAGAGAGGAGACTGACCGGGGAAGGGGCACTCAGATTTCTGAGACATAGTGGCAAAGGAGAACAAGGAGCCCAAGAAGCTGGGAGAACAGGGGTATTCCTTACAGGTACAAGACAAACAGGGTCTGGGCTAGCTTTTCCTCTGAGGATCATGGGACAGGAGATATTTAAGATATCTTTTAGACAATGCTGTGTTTGTGGAGTATTGGAAGGCTGTCTAATGAAAATATATGCCGGTGATCAGATATAGGATTAGATTTTGTGACAGGGGCGGGACTGAAAAGTGGACCCAACAGACAGGTAACTAAGTGGTACACTCAGTCTGGGTGCTGGGAGGACAGTAATTTGTAGGGTTTGGACTATTGGGGTTACAGTGGAGGGGCACTGCCTGAGGACTGGTAGCTTTGGCAGAGAGAAGTGATTCTGTCAAGGGAAGAATTAGGGCCCGAGAGAGGAGCCTAGTAGAAAGGTAGCCCCCTGATCTGAAGCTGGAGCCACCACTGTAGCGAAAGGAAGCCAAGGTTTTCTGCGAGGTCCCCATCTTTGCAGGTCTTCAGGGAGACAGCATGGCCCATGGGGAGGATCTGCTATCCCTGAACAGAGGCTGCTCTGAGGGGTCCCAGGCAGCCAAGCCTCCAGCCCCACAGCCCTGTGGAGATGACTGGCTGCCTCAGGTGCCCAACTGAGCAGCCGGCAACAGGCAGGCAGCTTGCACCGCCCCGGTCCTGCCTCTCCCCCAGCCCCGCTCCTGGCAGCCCAACATCCCATAATTGCCTTCTAAAAATATCCTTCTCTCCACCCCCATCTCTTGATTTCAAAATATTTAGTTTTCAGGGTATTTAAAATGAGAGCTGGCGGCTCTTCCAGGCCCAGATAATAAAGCTAAACATTTATGCTTCGACTGCATTTCTCTGAATCTACTGAGATCTCGGACTTGATATGGCAGCAGCAGGAGGGAGGGGAGTTGAGTGCAAGACAGATCATGTATGGCTCTCCCCAGGGCTGGGGGACAACTGGCCCAACCTGCCAAACCCCTCCAGGACCCTTCCCCGCCTTGAGGGCCACCTACCGCTGTTGACATGGAGCCGGCCACGGACAGTGTCCTTCCCCAGGATGTTCTCGGCCTCACAGACGTACTCCCCAGCGTCCTCCACCTTCACCTTGTTGAACTGAAGTCGTGAGTTCTTTCTGGTTAGAGAGGGGGAAGGGGGGTACAAGCATGAGCTATGGCCACCATTGCTCCCCCATGATCACCCAGTGGTCACCTTTCCCCACAGTGCCACAATGGCTGTGCAGGTTGGGTGGGAAGTAGGTCATTCAGGCCTGCCTTTTCTGGGGTCCAGGAGGAATGTTGAACCCCAGAGTTGGAGAGAGACCTGGGCCCTCAGGACAACACAGGGTGAGGCCAATGGTTGCATACTTTTATACATCTAGGAATTCTTGTATCAGTTCCTAGGGCTAGGCTTTCTTTGTATCACTTTTCTTGGGGGAGGAAAGCCAAGCTCCTTAGGAATTCACATGGCCATGTCCCTCACTTCCAATGGCCTCAGCCTTCTTTAGAAGTGGCAGCTTGTCACTGTGGATATGTAGGGTCTATTCCCAACACTATGGTTTGAATGTTCCCCAAAGATCACTGATCCCTAGTGCAATGGTGTTGGAAGTGGGGCCTAATGGGAGGTGTCAGGCATGGATGAATGGGTTTGCTGTAAGAATGAGTTTGGCTCCACTATTCATTCTCTTTCACTGTGTGATGCCTTCTCTCATGTTACAGTGCAGCAAGAAGGCCCTCACCAGATGCAGGCCCTTGTTGTAGACTCTGAAACTGAGCCTAATACACTTTCCATGTTTACCAGTTGCCTAGTCTATAGTACTCTGTTATAGCAGCATGCCTAGGTACCTGGGAGAGTCACAGTTCTGATAGGGTTAGGTGGCAACTTGCCCTAGATCCCAGCCTTAACTTGTTGCTTTCTTCTTCCTTCTGGCAGACCGGTCACTAAGGGAGTACTGTGTGGACTTCTGTGTACTGAAAGCTTGCCTACCTCAGGGAACAAAAAGATCCTGGACTTGGTCCTCAGGGCTCCATTCTTTATAGATAGAAAAACTGAGTACTAGAGGGTTTCCTGACTTGCCTAAGAACACCCAGCAAGGCAACATCGAGACTAGGAGTCACAGCTAGTGAGGATGTGTGCTATCTCTGGGCATCTGAGGCTGGGGCTAGCTCTCTCTTCATCCAGTCCCTGCGTGCTGAGGATTGTGGGGTCAGGCCGAGCAGATTTCCTTGGCCCTGTAACTCCATGGTACCCAGGGCTGGTTCTCCTCCTCTTTTTGAAGTCTTGGTCTAAACTTTCCTTTCTTCTCAGAGCATTCCTGCTCCTACCCCAGGGTGCATGGGCTCTGCAACTCTTACTCCTCCTGCCCTAGTGCTCTCTGGGGACAAGCAAGAACCCACAACCTCAGCCTGTCCCCCAGAGTTAAGCAAGAAGTAGCATGAAAGTGTCTTATGTGGTGTAAACACTCACCCCTTTATTTTTTGGTGGTACTGGGGCTTGAACCCAGGATCATACATGGGCTAGCTAAGTGTTCTGCCAAGGAACCACATCCCCAGCCCTAACCTCCATCCTCATTAGGGGATAAATTTAAAAACCAGATTCTCAGAATGTGTGTGGTGGATCAGAGGGGTTGTGAAACACAGAATAGGGTGTAGGAGCACTGTCACTGCCCTGAGCCCAGGGATAGAAAATGGAGCTGTAATGCTGTTGGGGTAGGGAGGACAGGGGAGTTGGGCAGAGAGGCTGGGCCAGGGTTGAGGTGATTCAAATGGGCCCATAATCCCTACCCTGGCCTATGCTTCTGGGACTTCTCCTGTGGGCTTGGCTTTTGCCTCTGGAGGTGGGTCTCTTCCCTGACATCCTTGCCCCAAGACCTCCAAATAAAGGTGCTGCCACATTCTTAATAGATCCCAATTGTGATTTCCTTATAAGGGTGACAGCTGCTTAACTATACGCTGCCTATCCTGGCATAAGCTGGTCTTGGTCTCCTGGCCTGGTGCCTGCACACTACCCTCTTCTGTCCATTAAAGTTTGGTGCCTCATCAAGTGGAGCCCTGGAGGCTCCTCTGACTAAGACTGTATCTCTTCCCTGCTACAGCCTAATTAGATGCCATAAAGCACAGCTTCCCCAGGACAAAGCTCCTCTCCCTTCCCTACACACTGAATGAGTAGGGCAGGGGATCATGTGAAGGTCACAGGGTTGATGTCTAGGGGACTCAGAGCCAGACCCTCCCTGTCACCCATAGCTGTGTTCATGGGAGCTTCGGGACAAGGTGCAGAGAGGGACTTCTGGGGTATTTGCAAGGGGAAGCCGGACCTTGGAGGAAGGGCTCCCTTGTATGTATGAACTAGCTGTGCCAAGGAAGCCGGGGCTCCATGACAGCCTCTCCCATTGGAGGAAAAAGGAAGGGCCACAGGGACCCCCAGGTTTGCTAGCTGCGGGTGGCTACTTTGCTAGGGCTTCATGGATCCCAGGGGACGTGGGCTCAGAAAAGGAACGGCTCAGGGGTAGTGCTGATGAGGGGGGCAACACGGAGTTGCTGGGCCCACTGCTTTCTGTCCTCACTCCTGGTTCCAGCTAGAATCCCTAAGGACTGGGCTCTCTCCCATCTTCCTGGCAGGTGGGAGATGCTGTCTCCAGTCCCCCATCAGTGTGCTGACCCAGGTCTATCCCTCAGTGTGCCTGATCCCGCCCTCGCCAGCCAGTTCTCTGCTGGCAGGGACAGATCTGGGCGGCCTCACATTTTCCTCTGCACCTCCCTCCCCTGCCTGCGGGGCGAGTTCCAGCCTGCCCCTCATAAATAAGGGCACATGCAGTTCTGCAGGGGAGGGCCCCATGCCCAAGGATTGTGGGGCAGTTTTCTCCTGGCACAGGAAGGCCTGGTGAGACTCCACATTTGGTGGGCACAGAGACAGACGGCACCAGCTGGGGAGAGTGTCTCTACAGGCCAGCAGAGATGCCAAGACTAAGTGCAGCCTGGGCAGGCGGAGCATGAGGAAGGCTGTGGAGACAGCTGCAGGGCAGGCAGAGAGGACAGAGAAGTTTGCCAGAAAGGAGACTCCTTCCCCTGCCCCTGGCCTCTGTGCCAGGTGAGATGTGTAAAGTAAGTGTGGAGTGGTAGTGTTTTGGGGTGGCAGCTTCTCAGAGTCACCCTGAGGAGACCTTGGTCACAGAGAATCAGAAGTTTCCCACCATGGCTTAGGCTTCCACTACAGGGGAGCAGGCATGCGGCACACAGGCAGGGCCTTGACATGTAGGGGCCAGGAGCATGATTTAGATTTGGGTCCACCATACCCGGGACAAGTCTTGACCAGGCCTGGGTCTGGACAGGGTCACCCGTTTGTCAGATGTGAGGCTTAACCAGAAGTGACTTGTTCAGAGGCTTACACAATGCAAAGGGCATCCTGTCCAGCTCAGAGGGACCCTGCACCCAGGAGAGGAGGGCCAGTCTTGTGAGAATCTCCCAGTTCAACACTTCCTGGGCCTACAGGGGAGAGGGGAGTGTAAGGGAGTGCTAGCCTTTGAGGCTTTCTCAGTTAGAAGGAATAACATCCCTCAACAATCCAAAGAAGCCATGTCTAAGGCACTATCGGAGGACACAAGTACTGCCTGGAGTGCTTGGGCAGATGTCCCCAAAACATGATATTTAAAGAAGTGGACCTTGGAGAACTTTGCCAGAGACAGGGGAGATACAAGGGCCCAAGTCCAGAGTCATGAAAGCAAGGACTCTGCTGGATGTGCAGCAGGGTCGAGGAACAACAGGGCAGTTACATGCAAGCCAGGAAGAGTCGGAAGAGCCCCAAGATTGTGCCCAGTGTAATGCAGACTCTTTATACCTGCCAAGTAATGACACTGCATATGTTTCCTTGTTAGAAAGATCAAGCCCTGTATGCACTCACAGAGCCTGGCACATAGATGACAGTTAATAATATAGTATCAGATACAGCAATGAATTAACAGAGGGCCCATGGCCCAGAAATGTGGAGAGTGGTCAAGAGTAGGGCAGTGGAGGGAAGAGCCAGAGGCAGAGAGGTCAGGTGAGCAACATGCAGGGTGGAGAGAAGGGCATCTCTTGCCTGAGAGGTGGTGTCTGACTGAGGGATGGTGAGGGGGCAGGAGCTAGGTAACAGGAGGCTACAGTGCAGCTGAGAGGGCCATGGGAGGAGTAACTAGGGCAGGCAGAGAAGCTGGCAGGGGTGTTCTGAGTCAGAAATGCCTGTGGGGTCTTAGGGTGGTGTCTGACAAAAAAACCATCAAGCCTGGAGATAGAGCCTCTTGTCTTAGATGTATACAGGCACAGGGGAGGATAAAATCACCCACAGCTGGAGAGAAAGAGAGGCAGGAAGCCCAAAGCAGGGAAAGGCCAGCAGCGATAGTGTCTGAGAGAGAGACTGGACACAAGAGGGCTGGGGAAGCTCTCAAGGTCAAGAGAACAGGTGGCTCACACCAACCTCTGCTTAGAGGCCTGGAGACCCACCGCCAGGGAGTTGAGAGGTTGCTGGGGTTCTCCAGAGCCACAGCCATGGCAAGGCTGGGGACGCACTGAAAAGGCAGATTTGGGCAGGGCAGTGTGGGTGGAGGACAAGGGAGTGTGGGGCCAGCAGGAGACAAACCCTGCAGGGTAAGGCAGGGAAGGCAGGAGATAAGGTAACAGCTGGAGCGGGGAAAGGAAACAGCGGGGTTAGCACTTCAGAAGTGAAATGACAGGAGTGAGTGTGCTGGAGGGACGAGGGCTGAAGTTACCTGAGGAAGGAGGGAGTTGGTAGTGCCAGGGCTCTGGGGGTGGTGTGCGCGCGCGCGCGTGCATTCGGGCATGTGTAGGGGAATGCAGGGCACGTGTGGGATGGATATGGATAAGTGGGGGATGTGCTCAGGAGCACTGTGGAGGGCGAGAGTGAGCACTCTTCCCTGACTTCTTGGTTGACCATCTAGACAGAGGATGGAGGGAGGCGAGGAGAGGCAGCCCCTCTCCCAGGTCCAGCTCCAAGAAGCCTGTCCACCCTTCTCCCTGGCGGGGCCCAGTCTTCACAGGGTGGAAGAAAGGGGCAGGTGGCTTCAGGTGGCTGGGTGGGTGCCCTACATTTCTTGTCAACATGGTAGAGCTGGGGACGCACAGGAATGTCCCCCACCTCCACTCTCCACTAGCCACTAAGATGTTTTTCTCTCTTCTCCTCTTCTCTTCTATGGCACTGGAGATTGAATTCAGGGTCTTTGCATTGTGCTCTATTTCCAGTCTTTAATTTTTTTTTTTTAAATTTTGAGACAGGATCCCATTAAATCATTAATTTGCCTAAGCTGAGGTCCACCTTGAAATCCTCTTTCCTCAACTTCCAGACCTTAGTAAAATTGCTTTCTGTTTCTATCTGAGCCACTTTCTGGGGTGAAGAGTTCTATCTTTGTCCCCACTCTTGGAAAGAAAGGCAGATACGAGGGTCAGACGATGTTCCTTGACCCCCACATCCTCTTTCATGGGTTCCTGACAGGTGGGTCCAGAGACAGGGCTTGTGCAGCAGGCCACACAGCAAGCCAGGTATGGCTGGAGTTGGGGTTTTCTTTTCATTGCTTTCTGGTATGGGTGGGCAGGACATTCTCTAAAATTATCTTCATTTGCATTTTGTGGGGTGAGATGAAGAGGAACATGACAACCTGGAAGGGAGTGACTGCAAGCTACTCTGGGGTGGAGGTGGAAAAGGCCAGGGTGTCCGTCAGTCAGAAGGGAGTATGCACCCAGTCCCCAGGGCAGACAGAGCATGCTGAGGCAGAACATCTATTTAGTCAGCAGTGAGAGATGGGGGGCTGCTCTTGGACTTCAGGATTCCCTGGTGCCCGAATGTCCTGACCAATCCAAGATGGATGACAGGCCACCTTCCACAGCATGGAGACTTGGGAAGCTTCTGAGTCATCCTTTAGAGCGCTGAGTCAAGAGTAAGGCAATTCTCATGCCGGGGGAAACCGTTGGAGGTACAGATTCTTAGCTCTAATGCTCATCAAAACCCATTTTCTCTTCCCCCTTAGCACACTGTCTGACAAGTGGCAGCTTACTAGGCTGAGAAAACATCCCATTATCCTGTGTGAACTCTGTGCTTTCTGTAGGGTCTTTCACCCAACAATTTCCAGATTCAGGGGCTTTCAGACACTGCTTGGTCTTTTGCAAAGAAGTTTCAGGGACAAACAAGGACTTCCCCTGGTAAAATTGAATCGACAATCAAGCTTACTCCAATCATCCCGAGATGTTAACTGCTTAATTCTTATCTTCAGTCTGCCTTTCAAGATGGGTGGGGTGGCTAGGAAGGGGAGAAAGCAGCAGGGCTGGGACTCGATCCACACTGCCTCTGGGCTCAGAGCCCTTGGTTCTCAGAAGGGAGGGCAGCTGTGGGATTGAGGTTATGGTGGACTCTGCTCACCTGCTGTTGCCATACTTGATGCGAATATCTCGGCTGCGGTTGAGCTCCTTGCCATCCTTGAACCAACGGTAGGAGGGCTGGGGGTTCCCGGCTGCTGCCTCACACTTCAGTGACTGCTTCTCCCCCACCTGTCCTGTCTGGCTTTTCATTTTCTTCAGCTTGGGCCTGGTGGCTGTGGGAACAAGGCAAACAGGTGAGTGTGGTGGTGGTGGTGAGGGCAGCACCAAGCATGAACACAAAGGGCCAGGACTGGAGAGGGAGGGTGAGGCTAGAAGCCACCTCTCCTGATATCATTTCTTAGTTCACCTCAACCAACACTTACGGAACCTACAGTGAGACAAATGTGCTGCTACTGACAGAGTGTCCCAGAGGGCATGGAGAGCTTTGCGTTAGCTTATAAAGCCTTCACCATAACTCCATAAGTCCAGTGCCATGTTTAAACCCGTTTAAAGGTAATGAAACTTGGGCTGGGGATTAAGTTCAGTGGTTCTGCTGCTTGCTTCACAAGTACAAGGTTCTGAGTTTGTACTTGTGTACCTGGCACCAAAAAAAAAAAAAAAAAAAAAAGAAAAGAATAAAAAGAAACCGAGGCTCAGAAGACTTCCTCAGGGAGGGTGATGATGGAACAGGTTCAAATCCAGATCATAACCCCAGTACTCATGATCTACCTCCTGTCCCAAACCTCAAGTGTGTGCTGGACCCAGAGGACACAGGCAGACCAAGATGATGGGCTTGACTAGTATTCCTGCAAAGTCCAGCCTAGTAGGGGAGGTGTAACCTGGCACTGCTGTCGTAGCGTAGCGCATGGAGACCTGGGCACAGTGGAACTGAGAAGCCACCCTAGCCCTGGGGACGTGGCTCACTCAGCTAAAGGCTAAAGGACTGGTCTAGAAGAAGAGGGGGAAGCGAGAGAGTCAGAAGCAGTGCTGAGGCTTGGGCAGTCACATGTGGTCTGGGGGCTGGGCTGACAAGTGTGTGAGGTACTAGTGTGGCTGTGAGGGGCCACAAGGCCCGAGTTGTGCTTTTGGTTGCAGGCCTGGTCATTGATGCAAAGCTGAGAGCTTCCCCCATTTTTCTTAAACACTATTCTGTTTTCATGCTTCATCCCCTTGCTCCTTTCCCTACCACCTAAAAAAAAGAAGGAAAAAATCCCCTGCTCTCAGGAAGGTGGGGTAAGCCAGTGCAGGTACATAATGACTTCCATCGGTACAGCACTGTACACTAGGATAGAGGGGATATGGGTACACAGGACACGTGACACTTTCAATGAGCTCTTTGAGACAAGTATCACAGTGACTCTGATGTGAGGTTGAGACTCAGAGGTTCAGAAACTTGACAGAGCCATAGGCAGCCAAAGGGCTGGGAACAAAGCTCAGAGCTTGGATTTGCAATGTTTCAGGCTGGTAGCAGGATGTTGTCTGCTTTTGCAGCCTTGTCTCTTTTTGAGAGTTGGAGACCCTGATTCAACTCCTTCCCGTAGCAGAAGGGAGGGTCGCTGGGGGCTGACTTGGGCTGTCTAGAACACTGATCTTGGCTCAGGTAGCTCAGAGCTCTGACAGCGGCCAGAGCTGGCTCTGGAGAGGATCTGGCTAGAGATAAGGGTCCCCACCTTGGACTCAGTTCTGACTCACTGCTTGTAAGGGGTCGAGTGTGAGGTGCAGGGAAGAAAAGGAACACAGGAAAAAACCCTCAAACAATGTGCTGCAAGGGCTTACGCAACATTTTTTGTTACATTTTAGAAAAATTTTGTTCTTTTTAGAAAAATAAAAAATACAGATGGGTGAAAAGAAGTAAACAAAATCATCTATTATCTCAGTACTCAGAAATAATATCCCCCACACATCGTTTTTTTTTTTTTTTTTTTTTTTATCCGGCATTGAACTAAGGACCTTGTGCTTGTAAGGCAGATGGGATGTCACTGACCTAAATCCCTGGCTCTAATACCATTTTTTTTTTTTTTGTATCAGGCATTGAACTAAGGACCTTGTGCTTGTAAGGCAGATGGGATGTCACTGACCTAAATCCCTGGCTCTAATACCATTTTTTTTTTTTTTGTACCAGGGATCGAACTCGGGACCTTGCTCTTGTGAGGCAGGCAGCAGCACCACTGAGCTAAATCCCCCGTCCCCCAATACCATCTTTAAACCAAACGGGATCAGGGTCAGTAGCATGTTTTTCTTATTTAATGAAACAATGCACTTTCATTTTGGTAGTAAATGTTAATAATAGCATTTCCTAAACTGAAGTCTGTAAGACACAAGTATCTGAAGAGGTAAAATGGATATTACTTGAGATAAGGTTTCCCTTAGGAAAGAAATTGGCTTGGGAAATATGTAGGTATGCACAGTATCTTCATTAACTTTAATATGATTCTCTAAGTAAGGGCTTTGAAACTCTGAAATATTTGGTAGCATTTCAAGAAAATAAGTGGAACATATTCTATAACATAATAGGTCTATATTTTTATAGATATATTCTTTGGGGTTTTGGTGGAACTGAGGATTGAACCCAAGGCCTTCACACTGAGCTACATCTCCAATCCTTTTTCATTTTTAAACTTTTGAGGCAGGCTCTTGGTAAACTGCTAAATTTCCCATGCTGGGCTCAAATTTGCGATCCTCCTGCCTCAGCCTCACAGAAATCTGGAATTATGGGTGTGTGCCACCACACCTGGCTTATACATACATGTTTTAATAGACAATATATTCACATGATTCAACATTTAAGAAGTGGGAAAGGTTATATGAGTATATAGAACAAACGAATATCCCCTCTAATTTTTTTTGGGGGGGTAGTGCTGGGGATGGAACCCAGGGTTTCGAGCCTGCTAGGCAAATGCTGTACCACTGAATTCATCCCTCTCTCTCACTTCTGATCGTGGCCTTTCCAGGTGATCAGTTTTATCAGTTCTTTTGACATGCATTCAAAGATCTATGCATATTAAAAAAGCCACAACCCTGGCATTTCCACACATATTTTTCATGGAATCATTTTTCATCCTTATGCAATAGTCTTGCCTGGGTGCACCATAATTTATGTAACAGATTACTATTGTGAAGCATTCAGCGCATCACCTGCCTGCCCATCATAAATGCCCCCAGACATCCTTGTGGCTTTTGTCTGTGAATGCAAGGTTTTCACTTCTATGAGAGCAGTGACTGTGTTTGAATCCAAGCTTTGCAGCTTGTTAGCTTTGTGTCCCTCATGGCACTGACTTCCTTCTTTTGTACTTTTGTAGTTCCTCACCTGTGAGATACAGGTGCTAAATGGTAGCTCCGATGATGGCTGTGAGGATGATATGAGACCATGCGTGCAGAGAGCCTGGCACACAGAGAGTATGTGACAAAGGTTAGCTGCTCTTATTATTATCCACGGTCCTCTCCTAGGGCGCTCTTCCTCAAAGTGGAACTGCTGTGTCAAAGGTAAGCAAGCTTCCTCAGCTTTGGCACCAGCCAACTGCCCTCTGGAAAGGTTGCACTAATTTGCACACCCCTGTAAATGATAGTGCCTGTTGTCCACACCCTCACCCTCACTAGGCGTTATCATGTCTCCAATCTCTGCCAATTAGCTAGGCAGAAGATAACACCTCTCTGTTGTTGCAATTTGCATTTATTTCCTAACTGATCAGACTGAACCTTCCTTCTAAGCATTTTACTCATTGCGTTTCTTCCTTTGGAACTGCCTGTTCATGTCTATAGTCTGTTTTTCTATTGAGTGCTCATCTTTTTTATTGGTTTGTAAGAGCTCTTTAGAAATATTAAGGTTATTAACCTTTTGCTACTATGTTTTTTCTTCACTTACCTAATTTCACATTTTGAAATGCTATTTCTTCCTCTCTTCTCACCCAAAGGTTTTATGCGCATGGATCTACTATTTGTTAGACTTTTGAGAATGTCATTATTCTAAGCATGATCCGAGTCCTGCCTCAGCGTCCTTCCTTGACACGAGTTGGGTACAAGACCACGCACTGTGCAGTTGATGGCCACTGCTTAACGCGTGGTGGTGGACTGGGGATGTAACACATAGAGACAGAGTACAGACATGACCCTCATTCTGGGTCTCAAGAAACTGGGGGCTCCAAAGTCATCCCCGTCCCCAGCGTGAACACAGGATTGCATTTCAGATCCCAAGGAGCCCACTTCATTGAGTAAAGACTCCTTGGGACTCTAGAGCTGCTCCTCATGGTCCACTCACTTCAGAACAACCCGTATAGTCACTTGTTTTCAATCATTCATTCATTCATTCATTCAGCTCCTTTTCAATGAACGAATAATTGAATTGAATGCACTCCACTTAGTATATGCCAGGCACTGTTCTGAGCGCTGAGTGTAGAGGAGTTAACAAGACAGACAAGCATCCTTCTCTTAGGGAGCCTGACTTTCTGTGAGGAGCACAGACAATCAGCAAGTAATCATCAGGAAAGATGAGGCAGTGATAATCAGCCGGATAAAGGCCCTAGGTGGGCATTAGCTTGGAGAATTCATGGGCCTAAGAGATGCCTACCTGTCTGCAAGAGAGTGAAAGATGGAGGTGGCTTGAGGAGAGCTTACAGAAGCAGGCAGAACTTAGGAGACATAGAGCTGTTTGATCCAAAACAAGAAGTCAGATTTGCTCATCTACTTTTTTTTTTTAAACTTTTTATGTGTCTACTAGAAAATTTTAAGTTACATATGTGTATGGTATTTTATTTATACTGGACAGTGCTGGTCTAAAGAATGACAAAATAAAGATAAATATGCCATATTCTTTACAAATCATGCCATATTCTTTACAGAAAGTGTTATGGCTCTTACTGGTTCTTCATAAGAATCACCTGAAAGCTAGGGCCAGTCAAACTTTGTAGGCTGCATTTTTTCCCCCATCAGGGAAGTTCCTTGGTGGGAGGCAGTTGTAGCAGCTCAGGTGGCAGGAAAGAGAAGAATGCATACCAGATGGTCCTTGGGACAATGGCCAAGGGACCTCTGCACCCTCTCTCCTAAATCCAGAGCCCTGTCAGGTATTCCCTGGCAAGGACTGAGGTGACCATGAGAAGACGGGCTTGGATTTGTGCTGTAGGTGTGACAGAAAGGCATTAGAGGTTTACATACTGGGCAATGACCTGATCTTACTATCTGCATTTTAAGCTCTTTCTTACCCAAGCCACCATTTCTTCTTTGTGTGTGTCTTCCAGTCATTAGATCCAGTAACCCTGGGGTTACCAGGGATAAGGTGCAGAGTCTGTTCACAGAGTAGAACTTAGACACCTGGAGACAGCTCTTGTGGACCTCAGTCATGACTGGGCTAGTTCTAGCCCCAGCCTGGATACCCTCTCTGAGCTGGGTGCAGTGTGGTCTGTGCCTCTTTTACAGCCCAGGGCCCAGAATGTCCATGTTAGGGAGGGAGTATGGAGATCTCATACTGGGTCCCAAGAATGTTTTCAAGCAAGGGAGATGAATGGGCCTTCTGGGATGGACGAGATCTGTCAGGGCAAAGCGCCCAAGTCGCAAAATGGGCAGTCCCTCATCCTGCATCTGTCAACATGTATTTACCAAGTGTCCACCATGCACTAGGTCCTGCGCTTTGTCCCAGAGAGAAATGGAGTAACTACCCCACCCTCCAAGTTAAGCTTGTCCCTCTCTGTCATTGTTTTGTTACATAAGAAATATATTTTAGCTGTAGGAAACTTGTACGAGGAGAAAGAAGAAAATTTAAATCAATTACCATCGAAGAGAAAACCACTGTTCACATTTTCAAACATCTGGAAAACAGTTCTCTATAAAATGCTTTAGATCCTACTTGTTTGTTCAATCAACACATTATATAAGCATTTTTGCATATTTACAAATATAGCTGTAAATCATTTTAATGGCTGCCTAATATTCCACTGTTCAAATGAATTTGTTATGTTGTCTCCAGCATTCTGTTAATATGAACAAGACTCTAATAAACTTCTCTGTCGATACAACTGTGTGGCCAAAGGGAGTGCTGCAGTCCTGAAGTTTTGTGCGTATTTCCCCAAGCAAAGAGGAGACTCTCTAAGATCCAGCAAACAGGAGAGTGGACAGATGAGAGATATAAGGTAAAAGCAAGCAGAAGGTTGGTGTGCACAAGAAGTGGGAGGGAGATGCCCAAGCCCCGGCCTGATGACCATCCCCAACATCTGACTCCCTGAAGCTGCCCCTGGAGGGGCAGCCGGAAGTTGATGGCTAGGTGGGCCCTTGGATATTGGGCAGCAGTCCCTCCAGGCCCCTCCGCTGAGCTCCCATACTCTTTGGGTTGTGGGCAGACCCAGAGGTCACTTTGTCCAGCTCCTTTCTTCTTGGAGCAATGTTAACTAAGCAGCAGGACCAGGCTTTCTGATGGTGATATGGAAGTGTGGGGAGATTGTCTCTGGCAGCTTTGTAAGGACAAAAGGGAGGTCTCTCGAAGTCTGCACAGAAAGATTTTTCTCGATGACAGGCTCCATAAAACTTTGGCACATATCCTACATTGTTATAAGTTGGGCCATCAGGTATCTTGGTGTCTTCTGCTTCCAGTCACCTGTTGCCAATCCAGGGCATCTGGCCTGTCTCTGTTTGACAGGTAATCCCAGGGAAAGCACTGCGTTCGAGATAGCAACACAGAACAATAACCAGTGCAGCGCCTTCCCCACATCCCAGCCCGGAGGCCAGGAGGTGCTGCTGTGCCAGTGGCTTGACCTCATTCCTCTCAGCAGTGGGCGGGGGCGGGGGCGGGTGGGTGCTGAGACTGAAGAGATCTGAGAGCAAGACAGACGCCCAGGAGCCCAGGACGTGGCCAGGCAACCTGTCTCGGAAAAACCTGGCTCTGCCTTGCCCCTAGCAACCAGAGGCAGGGAGGCAGCAGAACTAGCTGCAGCAGCAGCACCAGCCCCAGTAGTAGCAGTAGTAGCAGCAGCAGGCTCTTAAAAAGGTTAATGATCCTCACCTCATGAGTAAGACTGAGCAGTCTCCTTTGCAGGGCAATACCTGGAGACAATGTGGCCAGCCTGCCTGGCATCAAAGTCTCTCATTGTCCTGCTGCTGGCAGGCTGCTGGCTGGCCCCCTCCCCACCCCTCTCCCACCTATAAAGTGATTGCAACCTATTGGAGGTTAATTACAGACTCCAAGTTCAAATGAGGAAGAAAGAAAGAAAGAAAAAAACTAAACTAAACTAAACTAAAAACACAGCTGGTTTAAGTGGGTATGGAGGGCCTGCTCCGTGAAATGGGTAGCTGGGTATCCTCCCGGTGGCCTGAAGAGGACCACCTCATGTGTGGAGGACAGGCCTTGGAAAGAAATGCTTGCCTAGCTGGGCTTTGGCTTTCTCTGGGTTACATGTCTTTGGCCAAGCAGCCCAGCCTGGCTCCTGGGCTTGTTTTGCCCTCCTCTTAAAGTCAACTGACAAATATTCACATGCAATAGGCCCTGTGATGTGCTGGGCACCTACCAGACACTAGGGGTATGGGGCTGAACAAGACAACATGGTCCCTGCCTTCTGGTTGGGTTATCCCTTCTGTTGAGAGATGCCACCAAGCTGGAAGTAGTCTCAGTGACAGTCACTTTCCTAGACCAGTGAGAGCCAGCCCTGGTGTTGTCACTTCAGTTACAAGGTAAAGAGGGTCCAGAATTGCTGGGGATGACACTTAAAGGAGGGCAGGCAGAGAAAAGGGGGGAGGAGGAGGAAGAGGAGGAGGAGGAGGAGGAGGAGAAAGAGAAGGAGGAGACAAAATTTGGTAGCATCAAGACCAACTGAAATGTTCCTGCTTTCTTAAAGCTTTATCTGGCCAACCAGAGCATTGCCCACTGACACCCAACCCTACATTTGGGGGCATAGCATGCCCAGCTTGACTGCCATGGCTAACACCATGCTTATCCCCAGACCTCTGCTAAGAGCCTCCTTGGGGTTCTCCAGGCTAGGGGTAGAGATGCCCAATTCGGAAGTCAGCAGGTCCATACTGCAGGGCCCCACCTCAGCTCAGAACTGAGCTACAGGTACATAAGCAGCAGAGATGGGGAGGGGGAGAGGCACCTGTGTAGGGACATTGCATGGTTCTCCAGGAAGCAGCACAATAAACAGAGGGAAAGGGTGGGAGATGAAGACATGGCAATCAGGTTTTGGTCCCAGTCTCAGGTTTTCATCTGTCTGCCCCTAGGCAGTTTGGCCTCCTGCAGCCTCAGGTGACTCTGCTTATTTCAGGGGGAAATGGAGTTATAGCAGGTTATCTATGGAGGCATAGGAACTTTTCTTCAGTTCCTGGGGCAGAGGTCAGGGGCAAAGCAGAGAGGACAGTTCTGGAGAGCCATTACCATTTGCACAAACCCTGGTTAATGTCTCTACTGGGGAAGACTGGGCTCTAGGTCAAAGACTTGGGCTGTGGCACAGCACAAGCTGGTATGGATATGGACATCTGTAGGTGAGCTAGGCCACCTGCTTCTTGCTTGGGAACTCAGAACTGAGGAGGGGTCCCAGAGGCCCTGTCCTCTGTGGAGTGGGTTTGTGCCTCCTGCCTCTTTATCTGGCTGGGGAAAGTTGTTTCTGAGGTCTAGGGTTTGGGGAAAGTAGTGAACACCTTGACCATCTAAGTAGAAAAGATTGGCTTCTCAACTGGACTACATGTGGAACTGATGGTCTTGGGGCCTCTTTCTGAAAGGTTTGCCAAGCTCATTCGTAAGGTGAAGCAGCACTGCTGTATTGAAACAAATAGACATATGATGGAGTAGATGTGGATTTTTAAGATTAAAAAAAAAGATGGCTTCAAAGCAATGTTGGGCTTCTAGGAAAGGTCTTAGGCTGCTGCAGGCCAGTGGCAGTCCTGACTCACCTGTCTCTGTCCCTCCAATTCCTACAAGCACTGAGAGCCCTGGGAAGCTGCTCTGGCGGTGTAGGGGCCTGAAAGTCTATCCCTGGACCGGGCTAGTGAAGTTGAGGGGCCTAGAAAGAACTCACCCTAGAACAAATGCTTCTTTCCCTGGTACTGAGTCCCTAGCTTGGATGTGTCAGGTAGAGATCCAGTTTCTCCATCTCCTCTCCCAAGACTGTTCTTGTCCTCTTTCAGTCACTTTGGCACCTGTGACAATCCCTGTGTCTCTTGACTTTCTCACAGGTTAAGTCCATTCACCTTCCATTAAGCTCCTTGCCCCCCTAACTCTCCATCATCTGCCAGGACCACATGCCAGCAGGTAAGCCTGGTAGGTTTGCCTCTATTGCTTCACCACCATTCAACAACCTTCCTGGGCTCCCTGATGTCTGTAGAAGAAAGGTGGCCACCTCCTTCCTTGTCTGGCAGTCAGGGTCCTCAGGGGATGTTTGATGGGCCAGTCAATAGGTCCTTTTCCTATGACTTCCATTCATTAATCACATATTCCTAAAAAAACCAAGTGCCTGGTTGCTCCCTAAATTCATACATTCTGTCCTGCCCCCATCCCGTGTGCTCCCCTCAAATCCCATTTCCCACACAGAAAGTAGGATGGAGAGGCCAAGTCATCCAGGCTGGAGGTCACACAGGTTTCTGTGTATCACTAGGCAGGTTACTTAACATCTCTGAGCCTTTATTCCTTTGTGAAACAGGGTCAATCCTATAACCTAAAATTGTGGTAAGAATTAGATGGGGGTA